TCACTTGGATTATCCAATATCCTTCAATCTTGCTCAATCATCTATTATTTCCTCTCACTTCAAAACAGGATCCCATCATAAAATATGAAAGCCATTATCTCCCCTGTGAATTCTCAAAGAAATATATCATAAAAGGGATAAAAATGTCACAACCCATTTATAAATAGCAGACAGATCATGAATAATAAGACATTTCTTCACAGAAAGGAATTGCAGAGGATAAAACAATAAGATGAGGTTTGTGTCTATTGTGCAAGCTTATCAATCTTAACAGCTATACTGCAGTACAAAAGAAAACTGTCACTCTTGAGCCAAAAGACCATTCAGCAACTTTTTCCAAGTGCATGACATATTTAGATAATACAGGTAGTCCTCGACTTACAAAAACAATTGAGCCCAAAATTTATTAAATGAGGCATTTGTTAAGTTTTGCCTCATTTTATGATGTTTCTTGCCACCATTTTACAGTGTTGATATGTTAGTAACATGGTTGTTAAGTGAATCTGGCTTCCCCATTGATTTCGCTTGCCAAAAGGTTGCAAAAAGGGATCACATGACCTTGGAATACAGTAATGGTCATAAGTGTCAGGGTAATAGCTGATCAACTGCTGTAATGTAATACTGCAATGATGACGCAATGATAGCAATGTGACAGCAGGGTTATTTGACTGCCACCAATTTTAAGGGGCTGTTTTATAAGAGAGGTCCTGTGATGGTGTCTCTCCGTGTGTGCTTCTGTGCTATGGTTGATGATTGATTGCCTGACTTTGCCTAGTATGTGTATGTATATATTCCTTGAAGGTAAGCTACTATTTGAAAGACAAACCTCTGTTTACTGTATTTTGCTCCTGGGTTGTTTCAAAGTAGTTGTACTGTTGGACCATAAGTATGAACGAGTTGCCGAGCATCTGAATTTTGATCATGTGATCATGGAGCTGCTACAAAGATTGTAAGCGTGAAAAATGGTCATGTCACTTTTTCTTGTGCCGTTGTGACTTTGAACAGTCACTAAATGAACTGTTGTAAATTGAGGACTATCTGTACTACCGATGCAATACTAAAACTCTTGTGTACCCTACTTATTTTAAAACCAGACTTTTGCCAAAAAGTCCTATCTAACTGCACAATATGCGATCGATTCCATCTTAGGGCCCTTGCATCACATACCAGAATACCATAAGGCATCCTATGACTCAATTAGAGATTTCAGCTTAAAACCATTAAGTGATTTAAAAGCTTGGAGCAGGACTGGAAACTAGGTTCAAAGGATATTTGATTTCCAATGCAGGAGAATCAAAACTAGTCAACTCTCTTTAATCTATACTTGGCACCAGGCAACCCACCGGCATTCTGGACTGGCTGCAGTTTATGCATTGTTTTTAAGAGTCATCCAATGTATATCCTTTTAGAATACTTCAAGCAAAGCCACATTCACTTTTGCAAAACCACAGCAACTTCCATCTGGATCCAGCAAACGGTTCCAACATGCCAGGGGTAAGATACATTTTCCCCCTTTTCTGGAATAATGCTGAGATTTAGCTTGAGGACTTTTAGTGTTCCAATGCCATGTCCAAGTCCTCCTGCCTTTTTTCTTCACCAGTGTTTGTAACCAGTCCCTTTATCAAAACAAAGAATCTTTGATAGGGCATACATGATTGGTTGATGGCTAATGCAGTGGAAATCCATTGCACTTCTCAAATAATTGGAAGGCTTTTTAAAAAATTGATGGATCCTTTTTAAAAAAAAATATATCACTGTATGTAAAATGATCTACATTCAATTTCTGGCATTGAGATAGTCTCAATATGACAGCTTTTTAAAAAAAATTGGAAGCGTATTTTGGTTTGAAAGGGTGGCAATTGACCCAAAAAATAAGGCAGTGTAGGCTCTTATACTTATTACTATTTACTGTACAGCAAGGATATACAATCGGTATTTACAACATAATCTGGAGGTGGGGTTTCCACATAGTATCAGGTTTCCTTCTGAGTCACCCTCTCAGAGACTATCCCCCGTAACTCGCCTTCTTCCTTCCCCTTTTCTGGGTTCATCAAGAGAGGGTGAAAAGAAAGGAAACAGCTGAATTCACTATAGTGTGCTCAGCACAGCTTGACTTTCTCCTGGATCTGCTGAGATCACTTTCTTTATTGGGGGAAGAACTTCTCACAGGGTCTTCTGCTCTGTCCTTCCCCAGAGACCAGAGCTTTGTCTTGTGGTGGGATTCAATTTTTTTTCTACCGGTTCTGTGGGCATGGCTTGCTGGGTGTGACAGGAGAAGGATACTGCAAAATCCCTATTCCCTCCCCACTCTTGGGGAAAGGATATTGCAAAATCTCCATTCCCTCCCTACTCCAGGGGAAGGTTACTGCAAAATCCCCATTCCCTCCCCACCCTACTAACCTGCTTTCCAGCTCCGTTCTCCTGTGCAGGGCAACAAAAGAAGACCCAGCCAATCAGCTGGGACTCGGGAGGCAGTGAATAGATCAGGGGTGGGGCCAGCCAGATACTGTCTGCAGCCACCTGGGTCCCTTCTTTCTGTCTTGAAGATGCCCTCTTTCTGGGTCTTCATCTTCGTTCCTTCAGGGAAGCTATCCATGGATCATTTTTCTCTTTCTCCTGAGCAACTGCCAATTACTCTGCATACTAACTTAACTTCACTCTCCAACTTTTTTCTTCAGACACTCTTGTTTCACGCAATCTTTTTCTCTCTAATTTTGGTTCAGACTGGGCAGCATGTTACCTGGCAACTGAAGTTGTGGGTGTCCTCACTAAGCTCTAGTACTCAATACTCAAATAATATCATACTGAACCAATAGGATTTCTGTCTCTGCACCATCCCACAACAGCCCTGGCTATTAGCCAAGTCAACTCATCACCCCTTGGAACAGCACAGCTAGCCTTCAAGGCCCCAATTGAGCCTCCTTTCCTTCCCCTCCCCAAACATTTGCTGACTCACAGCAGCAGAACTGCAGCCAGGCCAAGCCATTAATAACTATATGCCACAGAGATAGAGGTAAATAAATAAAAAGGTGTCAGACTGCAGGGAAATCTTTTTATCTGAGATCTTAAACTGTTGTTACTCATCAGTGTATTCAAAGGCCAAACAGGAAAAGAAATATTTGGAGGATTTTGCAAAAAAAGAAAAAAAATGAAACTAAAGCTTTTTACTCCCCAGCCTCTCAACGGACTTTCCAATGGATGCTTTCTACAGGGTGTTGTAGAACTGTGGATGCTGTTTCCAGGACTACTTGGCTTATAATGCCTTGCTATAAAAAATATCTGAACAAAGGACTGAAAAGGGAGATTGCTTATATTGTGGTTACTTATCCAGGAGGAAAGGTTGTGCAGCTATGTTCCAACAAAAGCAGTGGTCCAGAAAGGATACTTCTTACTCAGGCCCTGGAAATCT